GCTCTATGCGACCAGAGGACATGTAAGAGTGGGGGAGTCAAACCCCACAGAACCTCCGCCCCGCCACCCGGGCGGCGAGGGAACTTGGGGGGGTTGAAGTCCGTGCATCTTAAAGTTGCTAAGTTTGAAGAACATTGGCCTAAAGCAATGTTTTGAACTGTGAAAATTAAGGGTTGGGAAAGTCTGATGTGGGGCCGTTGGCAGAACAGTAATAATGGGGAAGAGACTCATCAGTTTCTTGATTTGCCACTGCCCGCATTCCCCCTCTGAGACCAGCAGAACGGAACAGTAGCGCCTCTCTCAGCCAGCTGTTACCACCGCTGGACCATCGCCCCCTCTTTTATTGGAAGGGACCTCAAATGCGGCATTCCCAACAGGGCAAGGAATACCTAGTTCTTCTGAGGGCTGGGTCTGTGGAGGGTGCCAAGCCGTGGCTTCTTTAACCATGGTTTGATGAATGAGCTCGAGTTGGAAAGGTTCACCTGGCCCGCTAAGTTGTAAATCGAGATTTGCAAACTGCAACGGCTGGGATTGAATAAGGTGGTTAAGCCCCAGGTTGGTGTACGGGTAGTCCTTGCTTAACAACCCTAATTGGGATCGGCAACTCCGCCGCTAAGCGAAGTGGTCGCTAAGTGGGAAATCATGTGACTGTGACTGTGCTTCCCGGCTGGAAAGAGACAAGACTAGTCAGTTTCACACCTTCGGCTTTTGTTTGCCTCCTAACCCGGTGTTTCTTAAACTTGGCAGCTTGAAGATGTGTGGATTTCAACTCCCAGAATTCCTCAGCTAGCTTCTAACTACTCCCCCGCTTTGGAATGCTCCAATGCCCGCTTACTGCCTTGTACACATCGAAAGCAATGCTGGGAGCTGCAGAGCACTACGCAAATAGCTTACTCTCTTGAAATCCCTTCTTCTCCAATCTCTCTGGTCTGCGAGCAGGTGGGGCGGGGGGAAGCAAGGGATTTCTGTAGGCAATCTCTCCTTTGCCTGACCCTTTCCCGCAGCCGGCGCAATCACATTGCTTTCGATGTGTAGAAAAGCAAACACCTTATTCTCTTGGGATCTCTTCCTCTCCAATCTCTCCGCTCTGTGGGGGAGAGGGGCAAAGGGTCAGGCAAAGGAGAGATTGCCTACAGAAATTGCTTACTTTTTTTCTCCCCCCCTCCCCGCAAAGCAGAGAGATTGGATAGAAAGAGATTTCAAGAGAGTACTGTAAGCTGTTCGTGTAGAATGCCTGCAGCTCCCAGCCCTACTGGCACAATCACATTGCTTTCGATGAGTAAAAGAGCAAAAGCTTACTTTATTGCAATCCCTTTTTCTCCATCAGTCTATTCTGCAAGGGGGCGGGGGGGGGCGAGAAAAAAATGGGTCAGGCACAGGACAACGCGTACTAACTGTAATGGCGATCACGTGACTGAGGGACACTGCAAAGTTCGTAAAAGGTTGTAAATGGGCTGTAAAGTTATTTTTTCAGCACCATCGTAACTTCAAACGGCCGCTGAATGAATGGTCAATAAGTGAGGACTACCTGTATTGCAATATTGGCTGGACAGTGGACAATGGAGCAGTATGTCCACTTATAAGTGCTTGGATGACATATAGTGAAACCATTTGACATTCTACCTCCCTGATGCCAGATGTTCATCCTCCCACATCACATCTTTGAGTGAGAGTCTAAAAGCCTCTTTGATTACAAAGTTTGGCTCTAAATTCAGATTTGAAAAAATGAATGGGCATTAAATGATAATGAAGAAGAGAGGAGCCAGTAAGTACAGTAAGTAAGTATGTATGCATTTTTTACTTCCCAGTCTACTCTCTATCTCTGGGCATTTCCTGGTGGTCTCCCATCCAAGAATTAACGACGTTTGGTCTTTTTTCAAGCTCCACCAAGGTCAGCCACCTGCTGTGACAAGTTCCTAAGTAACACTAAGCCAAAATATTATTGCCAGCCTTTGGGTCTCCTCCGTTAACTTACATTCAAATGGCAAACTTTGGCTCTGTTCATACAGTATGCCGAACTAGGTTAAGTAAAGAGTTGGCAGGTGCCTTTTCAGAATATGCAAAGCTTGTTTGGCGTTTAACCCGGGTTGGCTACTTGTGGCTATGTAGCGTTGGGTGAACTCAACCGATTGGGCTATTTTCTGGTTCAGAATGGTGGGGAACTAGAGAATGCGTGAATGGGCAGCTAGCCTGAATGTGCTGTATGGACACAGCTAGCATGTTCAGATCCTTGGAAGTGCAATCTGGGTTGGGCGCGGATGGAAGGAAGAGAAAAAACCTGTCGGTCTATCTGCCTGCCGTCACCCGCAGCCATCCTGCAATCCGGACAGATGATGACCTGGGCACCTAGCCAACCTTTGGTGAGCAAAACCCCAAAGCTAAGCAGATTGTATTGGATTAGAATTAGCACTGGATGGGAGACCACTAGGAAATGCCAGAGCAGAGGGGGAAGCAAAAAGCAATGGCAAACCGTGGCCGAAGCGCCCAGCACAAAATATATCCTTGTAGTTTCTAAAGGTGAGCTCAGCTTGAATGAGTTTTTATCTTTTTTGCAGCTCAGAAGGTTTTTCCCCTTCCTAGATAAGGAAATATCAGCAGAGCCCTTTCGGCCCCCCAATGCTGGTCCGGTTTTCCATAGCAGTCATGTAGCAAAGAGCAAACGGTCAAAACTATTTGCTTGCCCTGGAACATGTGGCCTGTCCTTTGTCCAAGGAAGGAATGTGCCCCACCAGTTGAGTTGGCTGGTCCTGCCCTGCAGGAGAGGGGAGTCCCTGCTCGGCTCTGGCAGAGCATGGCACTGCCCGCGTTTGCCGGTGCTGCCTGGGAGTTTCCCTCCTTCTGCTTTGGGGGAGCCAAGGGAAATGTGTCCCCTTTTGTGTCCCCACCCCCCCCAAGAGAGGAGCTAGAATAGCCTTTCTCAACGGGTTCGCAAGAGATGGTGATTGGGAAAAAAAAATAAAATTGGTTTTTGAACATTGCGTGCCACACGAGGCTGGTGTTTGCAGCGGTGGAAATGTTTATGTGCCGTGATTCAGCTGCCAGCCTGTTGCTTTACTGCAGTTGTAAATGTTGTAAAAGATGGATTGTGTAGGTTAGAAGTGAGTTGCGTGGTGACATTTTTGTCGGCTTTGCAGGTTTTATTCCGGGGTTCCCTGAGACCTGAAAATGGTTCCAAGGTCCCTCCAGGATTAAAAGGTTGTGGAATTTCTGGGCCGGATGGTTGCCTTATCCAGAGGCAAGATGTTTGGCACTCTGTCCTCCCATAGATCCCAGGCAGCATGGCCAATGGCAAAGGATCATGGGCACTGTAGTCCATCAGCTCAACAAGGGGCCCAGCTGATTCTCTCCTGCTCGGTGAAGCTGCTTGCCACAATGGCCAAAGTTTTCAGCCCAGAAAAGAGCCCCCTCGTTCAGGGCAGTTCAGTTTGCCATTGTTCGATTGACCAGAAGCCCACCTTCCTGCCATTCCCACCCGCTGGGTTCTGCATCTGCCCTCTGGAGGCACCCATATGCCAACACTGAACTGCTCCCCGGCTGTAGCAATGGACATCATAGAGGTGTCTGCATGGGGGAAGTCAAGATGGCTATGTGATCCAAGCCCCCAATCTTTTTTACATGCGTTGAAAAAAGTCAAGGGGGCAGTCGCGACAGTATGATTGAAGCTGCACCTGGTTTGGGAGCAGAACTTCTCTTTCCAAGATTGTGGGGCATCCCGCCCTCCCAACGCCACCCGTGCTTTCGTCCCTAGGCTCACGCCTATCGCCTCCTGAAGCCGGGCGGGGTCTTCACCTATTGCAACCTGACATCCTGGGGGGACCTGCTGAAGAGCAAGTATTCGGACATCGAAAGGATGTTTCAGGTAAGAGCAGGAAGAGGCCGCTGGGCAGGAGGCTCCAGCAGGAGACACGGGATGTCACGTCACTCGCATAGTGACACCATGATGGGGGAGCACGTGACATAGGAAACTTGGGAGAATGTGAATCGACAATCTGACTCCCTAAATGCCACCAGGGCTTCCATTCACAGGAGGCCCTTGGTCAACGTCATAATGTAAATGATGTCACAGGCATTATGACATCATTGGACAAATAACCAGAATTGTGTATTCCCATCAGTCAAGGAATGCCATGGCATGGGTGAGGCTATGGTGGTTTATACCAAATACTTGTGCTGGTATAGGCACGTGCTGTGGTTGTCTCTTGGCCGAATAAAACGTTAAACCAGTTTCACCTCTCGTGCACTGAAGGAGATCTTGTCCAAGAACAGCCTTATCGCTAGGGTTTGTGGATCGTGTTAAGCCACAATTTGCTTAACTGCAATTTGTTGGACAAGGTAAAAAAAGCCCTTCACCCAGGCCTTGGCAAGGGAGAGTGTGACCCCTCAGTTCATCACACTTGCCATCTTTTATTTTTTACTGATTTGATTGTAATTTCTTTGAGAATTGGACAACAGACAAACGTAATAAATCATCATCTGGATTCACCAGATGCACAGCCATAATAGTTTCTTTGAGTCACCACATGCTGTTGGAACCCAATCAACTGAGACCTGTTCAGCAAATCATGATTAAGCAGACCATGATGGGTGGGGAGCAGAGCTTATGGTCGCTAACCTCTTTGCCATCCACCTAGATTCAATGCACGGGGAGTAACAATTACATTTACATTTAAATGTGAATTAAATGGAGTCAGAATCATTTTGTCTCTTAATCAGATGGTTTCATGAGGCATCCCCAGTGCAGGGGCCAGAACACAAAAGGTTTTAATGATCAAAATCTGGGTGTTGGCATTCTCACACAAACAACATTTGCACAAAACCACCACCTTTGAGCTAGGTTGGCTTAAGAAAAGTGATTGCCCCAAAGTCCTCCAGGGAGAAGGGGACTAGAACCTGGGTCTTCCCACCTGTACTCCAGCACCTGCATGACCACAACACACTAACTCTGTCTTGCTGTGTGGCTTGCGAGTAATCCTCAAAGCCTGCTGAAGCTGCAGTGGTTCACTTGAAGGACAAGGTGGAAACTCCTGGCCAAGCCTTCTCCACTTTTGTCCCACTCTCCCTTCTGTTTTGGACTGTGTCCCTGAGAACGCCACTGGCTGGAGAAAACTAGATCCTCCCTGGTTTAACAGGTCATGTGAATCCAGCCAGTTGTGGTTTATTTAAATTGTGGCGTAGCATATTGTGTGACCACAGTGTCAATCTCCCTTTGATTTTTTTTCCCCTTAGGAAACACAAATTACGCACCTGGTGGAGGCAGGCTTTGAGGCCAAGAACATCCACACTACCATTATGGACCTTGTTCCTCCAGCTGACTGCCGATACTATGCCTTCCCCAAGATGATCATCCCCGCCATCTTCAAATAGATGTGATCTCTCTCCCCAGGGAGAAGGAACAGAAAAGGGACTGGTGTGTTGGCAGCAGACACCCGCAGTCTCCAAGCAGCCAGAGGAAATG